AAAATCCAGTGTCTATAATAGTTCTGAAAATATTAGATATCACAAATAAATTCCAATTAAAACGTTATTTTTATATCTTATTTTCTTGTCCTAAAAAATAAACGAAAAAAATTTTAAAAAGTAGAATGTGGGGCTGGAGTTGTGGTTCAGAGGTAGAGCACTGGCCTATCATGCGTGAGGTTTGATCCTCAGCACCACATAAAAATAAACAAATAGGGCTGGGGATGTGGCTCAAGTGGTAGAGCGCTCGCCTGGCAGGCGTGCGGCCCGGGTTCGATCCTCAGCACCACATACAAACAAAGATGTTGTGTCCGCCGAAAACTAAAAATAAATAAATAAATAAATAAAAATAAACAAATAAAGGTATCGTGTCCATCTACAACTAAAACCAAAAAAAATTAATAAATAAATAAAGGTATCGTTTTCATCTTCAGCTAAAAAACAAATGTTTAAAAAAATAGAGTGTACTTATTTGCAGATGTATTTCCTAGGTGATCAATGCTCAGTCGTTTTTGGCAGGGGTTCTGGGAATTGAAGCCAGGGTGCTTTCCCACTGAGCCACACCCCCAGTGCTTTTTCTTTTGAGATACAGTGTGACTTAGTTGCCATGACTGGCCTTAAACTTGCGATCCTCCTGTCCTAGAGTCACTGAGGTTACAGGCATGTGACACTGTGCCCATCCAATGCCCAGTCTTTTAACTGCCAGAGTAGCGTGGTTTGGAACACCAAGTGTTTGGGCACATCTAAATAGTTTTGCTGAAACTACAATACAATTAGGAGTACACAGATTAACGCTTGAGAAAAGCTCTCCTTACTAACAATTTTAGTTTGGAAGACATCACTTGGTAGAGTGTTTTCCTAAGCTCTGTGTTTTAGAATGCTCATATACCTGGCAAACACAAGTGCATTCGGCATACAAGATCCTCACACTTACCTAGAAGTCCTCTATATATCAACTTAGCTTTTACTTTTGGAGGGAAATTCAGACTCCTCGGCTCCATAAGATCACTATAATTACAGGTCTACCTAGGCTAACAGCATGGACGAAGAACCACTTTAGACCTCTTCTAAGTTCAGGAAACAGTGTTAATGACCGTTCATTAACTCAATTAACAAAGACCCTTCTGGGCTGCTTGCAGATACCGTTGCTATTCCAGAAATCTCTTGTTACATAACCATCCTCCCCAAATGCCAGGACAGAGGCTCTTTTAAAATCACCCTATCTGGGGAACAAGATATGTAATTCATGTCACAGAGAAAGAATGCATCTCTCTATTACGTAAGAGTTCTGAATAACAATGGGCTGGGGTCAGCTCCCAGCTTGCCCCCCATGCTCGAGGGCCTGGGTTCTGTGCCCAGCATCACAAAAGAAAAAAAGAAAGACAGAAAGAATTCTGAGAAATAAGGGAAGAAAGTGAAAAACCATGGAGAAGGAACATGTAAAAATACAAATGACCCTTAAATATGTAAAAATATGACTAAGTTAATTTATAAAAAGAAAACTTCTGATTATAAGTACCCTGAGATATGATATCCTACTAACTGACACAAATTCAAAACTTGGACCCTCTCCTCATCCATCAAGGCCAAGGTGGGTTTGTCCAGCTCAGGTGGGATACAAAGTGGGACAGTCTGGTGATGGGGAACATCTGTCAAAACGACGAATGCTCTGAGCTTTAGCTGTCTGTGAGCCTCCGGGACTGCATCTCGAGGTCACTGCTGACCATGTCATTCCTTGCAGCACTGTTTATAAAGCAAACAATGGGAAAGATCCCACTTTCCCTCAATAGAGGGACAGATAAAATTGTGGACTAGTAGAAGACTGCACAAATATAAAGAAACAGGAAGAAGCTTTTGGGTCCTTCTTGACAATTATGGGGATAGCTAGAGGACCCTTGCTAAGGTGGAGAACAAACAGTGTGTAAGCTAACCTGCTTTTGAGGCCAGATTAACCTGCATATGCATTTTAAAAACTGAAGAATACTGAGAAATTTCAAACCATTTGCTATGGTTTGAAAGTGTCCCCTAAATTCCAGAGGCTGAGGCGGATATAGGAGTGCAGACCTGTAATCCCAGCAATTTGGGAAGCTGAGGCAGGAGGATTGCAAATTAGAGGCCAGCCCCAGCAACTTAGCGGGACCTTATCTACACAAAAAATTTTTAAAAAGGGCTGGGGATTGTAGCTCACTGGTACAGCAACTGTGGGTTCTATCTCCAGTACCGCAAAAAAAAAAAAAAATGCTTGTTAATGACTACATTTTGCGGTATGACCTAAGTGCAAGCCCCTCGTGTACATAATTGAATTTGAATCAGTGAAACCAAATGTTCTCATCTGGGTTATTTACAAAAGTAAACTCTTAAGTGATGGTGTAAGTTTAGATTTACAGAAAAACTGCGACCATAGTGCACAATTTCCTCCCCGCCCTTCATTCCATTTCAGCCACGGCAGTCTGGCGCTGCGTGGTACAAGGCTAGAATAAACACTGGTCCTTCACATCAGCTAGACTCCAGGCTTTATTTGGATTCTCCCAGCTTCTCCACCTACATTCCTATTCTGTTCCAGGATCCAGTCCAGACCCCCGTGCTGCGAGCACTTCGGGGACCTTGTTATTGCACAGGCGTCCTCAGCTGATGCAGGAGGGCACTCCTGGGGACCCATCTGTCACTCGCAGCTGGGAATGTGAGCTCCTGTTCACCCCTCCCATCCCTCGGTGCCTGAGGACTCTCTTAACTGAGGGATGTCAACCAGGGGTAAGAAGGAAAGACCTGAAGAATTGCCCATGGTACTCCCACCCCACGAGGGGCTTCCTGTGCGCGCCCCCAGAGAGCCGGGGAGAGAGGTGCTCATTCTCAGATTCCATCAACAGACACTGACTGAGCCTCTACTGTGTGCAAGGTCCTCTGGTAGATGGCATGGGGGGAAACACAGTTGAATAAGCCCTTCTCTCACTTTTAAGGGCTGCCATCCAGCCAGAGAGACAGCCTGACCCCCAACTCTGGAGGTGGGGCTGAGACACAGGTAACTGGGCAGAGACAGAGATGAGGAGATGTGCTTCACCTGGGAAGACTGAAGGCTTCCTGGAACACAGGTCTTTTGAACCAGGCCTGAAAGGAGGGTGGGATTTCAATGGTAACGGCAAAAAGGAACAGTGTTGTAACTGAAGGAACAGCAGAGGCCAAGGTGCAGAGGCGTGAGAGTTGAGGGCAGGTGCCCAGGACTCCTGGAGCTGAATGTAAGGGGAGAAGGGCCCCAGGAGGGCAGCGAATGCTGGGGCAGGAAATCCACCCTTCTCCAGCAGGTAGTGAGAAGCACCTCAGAGTCCCACACAGGGAAGATGGGAGCCATGTGACTTTTAGGGAGGAGCTTGTGGCAGTAGGACAAGAGGGTGAAGGATCACAGGAATGGAAGAGGATGAGGCAGGCAGAGCAGAGACGGAGATGGACAGTGGTTGGGATACGAGGATGGGGTGGAGGTGGGGTGACAGAGATCACAAGACAGAGGGACAGAAAATGGGGAGCTGATGCCAATCTATTGAAGGGGCCGGTTGCATCAAGGGATTTTGAGGTTGAAGGTGCAGGAGATCCCTCCCCAGAGGTCACACTGAGCCTGGTGCTCAGGTATAAATGAGGCATCATCCATGAAGAGGAAGTGGCAGAGGGTCCTCTGGGCAGAAGAGGAAGCAGATCACCCTGCTTCACAGGGGTCATATCTGCAATGCCTGTCACCCACAGTCTATGACTCCTGCATAACTCCTGCATAACTCCTTAAGGATCCTTGTCCACAGGAGGTCAAAGCTTTTCCTGGGCTAATGACACCCCCATGTGTGCACCCCTCATAGAAATGGTCTCACTGCCTGCCCCCAGCTCCTAGTCTCCTGGACCCCAGCATGCACCGTCCCATCACAACCTGCTGCCACCCCACTCTCAGCCCCTTGCCCTCTGGGGCCCACATTTTCTAGCCACTGACAACTTTCCCTGCATTGTGTGGCTGGGAACCCCCTTACCTTCTGCAGACCGTGGGCTTCTCAATCTTCAGGTCTGGGCTCCCTATCATCCTAGGGACAAGTCACCACACAGGTCTTTCTCCTGCCCTCTGTGGTTCATCAGTTATGGGCCCCGGTGGGACTGTGAGCCTGGAGACCATATCCCGTCCTCTCCAGGGTTCCAACTAGCCAGCGCAGTGAATGAGCAGGAAGTATTTGCCTTAATTTGTCCTAGACTTCCCACTTTAAAGATTCAAAGGGAGCATTTTTCTTCCATCATTGTAGGCCCTCCTATAACGAAATCTCCTCACCCCAAACAGGGTCTTCCTGACGAGGGGCTCTTGACCTTTTGCACACTAGATGATATTGGTTAGAAACTTTCCCCACCTTGGCTGGCGGGGTCCTTCACGTTCCCAGTTCACACATTTAGTCCTCTGTCTGTACAACAAATATTAGGCTGGTTTGTGCCAGGCTCTGTTGAGGACCTCAGGGCCCGGTGGAACACGTGGACGCATGCCGGCCTTGGAGGTAGGCATTAAACAGTCACCGCAAAGCCGAGCGTGGTGACGTATTCCTGTAAACCCAGCGACGCTGGACGCAGGAAGATCGCAAGTTCGAGATCAGCCTCGGCAACTTAGTGTGACCCTGTCTCAATAAATAAATAAATAAAGCGAGCTCCCGCCCCTGCTCGCTGTGGGTGCCCGCTGGGCAGCTCCGGGTACTGCGCTGGGGCCAGGGCCCCGCCACCCGCGCGCCCAGCAGAGCATGATCCGCTCCCTCCGACGCCGCCCGGGTGCAGCGGGGGATTTTGGAGGCTGTGAGCCACCTCCCAGGGCTCCGCAGCTCAGTCTCCGCCGCGCGGCTCGGCCTCCAGGGCAGACCACTCAGGGCTCCCGGGCTCGGCAGCTAAGCCTCCGCCAGGAGCAGGGAGAGCGGCGGGGAGGCGGGGCCTGCACCTGGGGCGGGGTCTCAGCCAGGGGCGGGGTCTAGGGGCGGGGCTGTGGGCGGGACCTGAGCTCCGGGCGACAGCTTTCCTCCTTGTGGCCGCGACCTCGCCAGGCTAGAGAGACTGCCGCGCGCCGCGGGAGCGGAGCGATGGGTGAAAACGCCGCGCCAGGGCCCCTTAGACTAGACCCGGGCGGGGGAGGCCACGCGCGAGCACTCAGGTGCCCACCCACCTTCTCGGGCCCGTGAGCAGGGACACTGACAGCCCCCGCACTCCTGAGTGTCGAAGCTTCTTCATCTGCTGTCCCGGGAGCGAGCAGAGACAGACCAGCTGGAGGGTGGGCGCCCACGCTGCCGCGCGTGGCCGCCCAGGGTCTCGGGAGGAGAGAAGCGTGGGTATCTGGGGGCGCAGAGGTCTCCAGCCCGGCAGGGCGAGCCCGCGGGGGAAAATGTCAGCCCCGGGCCAGATCTGAGCAGGGTAGGCCGGAGGCAGCGCGGTGCTGGGCGGTAGCGCCCGGGTCATGGAGTGGTGCTGCCAGCTCCAGACCCGCTGTGCATCGCATTCCGCTGAATGACCTTGGGCATGAAGTAGACCTCCTGCTATGTGAAGCGAGGATGTGGGGAGTCTGAATGACCTTGGGCATGAAGTAGACCTTCTGCTATGTGAAGCGACGATGTGGGGAGTGGGGAGTTCGCTGTGTCAGGTGCCCAGCACCCACGTGGCCCTCAGTGAAGGCTGAACCCCGTCTGTCCACAGTTTTCATTTCCAAGCCTCCAGTTATCCGAGGTCCAAAAATATCCAATAGCAACTCCAGTTTGAAATTGCCCACTATTGTGAGTAACATGATAAAATCTCCAGCTGCCTGAACAGGACTCACCTTCACCTTTTGTCTCTCCTAAGGTATTTTGAGAGAAAGAGAAAGAGAAAGAGAGAGAGAGAGAGAGAGAGAGATCAGTCGCATAACTTTTGTTTGCTGCCCTGGGATTGAAACTAATTGGCTCGTGCTGGTGATGCTCTACCACCCAGCTGCATCCACCAGTGGCCCCCACCTGTTGTACTGGCGTTATTTATTTTATTTTATTTTCACTAAGTTGCCCAGGCTGTCCTCCAACTTAGGATCGTCCTCCCCAGCCTCCTAAGTAGCTGGGGGTTACATGTGTGTGATATCTTACCCTGCCCCACATAACTTTTAATACAGTATATTGTTATAACTGTTTTATTTTATTATTAATCTTTTTCTCTCTTTTTTGGGGAGTCCTGGGGATTGAACTCAAGAGTACTCTACCATTGAGCTACATCCCTAGCTCTTGTTTTTGTTTTTTGTTACTGGGGATTGAATCCAGGGAGCCACATCCCCAAGCTTATAACTAACTAACTATCTTTCTCCTTCCTTCCTTCCTTCCTTCCTTCCTTCCTTCCTTCCTTCTTTCCTTCCTTCCTTCCTTCTTCTTTCTTTCTTTCTTTCTGTCTTTCTTTCTTTTTTTTCGTGCTGAGGATCGAACCCAGTGCCCCAGGCATGCCAGGCGAGCGCACTACCACTTGAGCCACATCCCCAGCCCCCACTTTATTTATTTTTATGTGGTGCTGAGGATCGAACCCAATGTCTCACATGTGCAAGGCAAATGCTCTACCACTGAGCCACAACCCCAGCCCTCACTGAGTTTCTTAGGGCCTCTCTAAATTGCTGACCTGGCTTTGAACTTGCAATCCTCCTGCCTCATCCTCCCGAGCCACTGGGATTACAGGTGTGCACCACCATGCCTGGTATCCCTAGCTCTTTTTATTTTTAAGGAAGCGAATTGCCAAGGCTGGCCTTGAACTTTTGATCCTCCTGCCTCAGCCTCTGGAGTCCTCAGGATTATAGGCATGTGCCACCATGCCCAGACTTTACTCCACTTTTACAGAAAAGGAAATTGGGATGCAGAGACATTTCAGGAACTTGCCCAGGGTCAGACAGCTAATTAGTGGTGGGTCCAGGCCACCCAAACCCCAGCCCACTCTCCAGTTCTGCCCCAGTACAAATGGGTGCATTCTATCAAGCCTGCCAAGGCTTTCTCTCCCTCCTCTGGGTATCTGCACACCCATGTCTAGCTCCCTCCAGCAGGGGCCAGGGCAGGGGTCGGTGGTGCTAATGTCCTGGGAGCACTGGGCCTAGATGAGGGCCCAGGAAGGGCTGGCTTCATGAACAAACTAGTGAACAAATGAATGTCGCCATCCTGCAGGTCTGCTCTCAGAGCTGAAGCTGACAGTGCCCTGGGGCCACATTGCTGCCAAAGCCTGGGGCTCCCTGCAGGGCCCCCCAGTTCTGTGCCTGCATGGCTGGCTGGACAATGCCAACTCCTTCGATAGACTCATCCCTCTCCTCCCACAAGGTAGGGCGGGGGTGAAGGGAAGCTGAGGGGCCGCCTGCAGTGAGAGACGGCTGATGGGGACCCTTCTCCTGCCCCTTATCTCTGGCCCAGACTTCTATTACGTTGCCATGGATTTCGGAGGTCATGGGCTCTCATCCCATTACAGCCCAGGTGTCCCGTATTACCACCAAAACTTTGTGAATGAGGTCCGGCGAGTCGTGGCAGGTGAGCAGGAGGCCGGGGTGTGGGGGTGCCCTGGGATGCACCCTCTGTGCTTGCAGCTGGGTGGTGCTAATGTCCTGGGAACACTGGCTGTGGCTCTGGTCTGGCCCCAGTTCCACCAGCAATTCTTGGGTGGAACTGGGGAGAAAGCTCTTCTCCAGCAAGAGCTCGCTTCCTCCAGTGCACCCCTAAACTGGTCCCCTGGGGGAGAGGTATTTTCCCAAGCCTGGGACAGCAGGAAAGAGGCCCGTGGGGGCGCCATCCAGACCTCCTGCTTTATGTATTTTCAGCCTTGAAATGGAGCCGTTTCTCTCTCATGGGCCACAGTTTTGGTGAGTACCCTTTGGCCAGCGACTGACTGGCCTCTTGCAGGGGCTGTGGGAGGCCCGGAGTTGGCACCTGCTTCCTTTCTCTGCACCTCTGAGAACCACAGAGACACAGATGTCTTGGACATTGACCTTTGGCCTCTGTGCCCTCTGACCTCAGACATGTGGCTCAAAGGTGGCTATTCTCTGACCTGATGAGGGAGAGGTGGCCCCATGAGTGGACTGTCTGGAAGGGGCCTGATGAGCCAGGGGAGGGGGCCTGAGTTTGAGAAACAAAGCCCTGGATGGAGCAAGGGTATGTCTGCTGACTGCTCCTTTGTCCTCTTTTTGTCCCCAGGAGGCACTGTAGGCGGCATGGTGAGTAGATGGCTTTGCTATGGCCACCTGAAGTGGTGGGAGTGGGGGAAGCAGGAGGAGGAAGTTCCCCCGGACAGGAAGGGCCTCCTCCCGGTTCAGTAGGGGCCTCTCCTCAGCTCGGCAGCACATCATGGTAGTAATCGCCCTCGTGAGGAAGTTGGTGTCAGGAAGTGGAGACTCCTGATAGAGTTCAGAGTTTCCACATTCCTGCCCATCACGGGGACCCTGGAGTCCAGCTGTCACCAGGGTCTGGAGCTGGGTGCAGGTGCAAACTTGGGGGGTCCAGGGGAGGAGCCTGAAGGGACAGAGGGTTCTCACTCTGACCTCTTGGGGGCCCCTTCGCCCAACCGAAGCCTTTTCGGGAAGCGCAGGGAAGAGCTGCGTCCTCGCTCGACTCACCCTTCCCTTTCTGTTCATCTAGTTTTCCTGCACCTTCCCCGAGATGGTGGATGAACTTATCTTGTTGGACGCGTCGCCGTTTGCCATGGACATTAATGTAAGGAGGGGGCTTCGTGCCGGCTGCCATGGGAAGCCCCAGGCCCGGCTGGTGCCCTCAGCCCTGTCTCCTTTGGTAGATCAGGGAGGCTGGAGGAGGTGGCGGGGTGGATGGGGGTCGGGGGACCTTCACAGAGGGGAGCATTCCATGCTTGTACCCAGGAGTGGTCAGGGGAGGGGCCGTGGAACCCTGTGTGTGTCCTGGGAGCGGCAGAAGGCAGGTGGATTGTGAGCGGCGTGGAAGAGGAGAGGAACTGCGGGTTGAGGAATTGCGGAGGACACAGCCCGGGAGCCCACGACACTCACGCTCAGCCAGATTACTTTGTGCCATGCACACTTGCACAACCACACAGAGCACGCTCGAGTGTGGACTGACAGGAAAAGTACTGACCCCTCCAGCCACCACCACCAATAACAGCCAGTGCTTTCCCCTTTATCTGAGACCTGGCTCTGTCGTTTGGTTTCTGTGTAGCCCAAGGCAAGTCACTGGCCTTTCTGAGCCTCAGTGTCCTCACCTACAAAATGAGAAGTTGCACTCAGTGCTCTCGGAGGTCCCGCCCACTCTGGTGGTCTGCTGTTCTCTTTCGGAAGGCTCAGCTCTTGGTGGTGACACATCTACTTCATCAGTTTCAGTTTTCTTATCTGTAAAATGACCACAGTTCTGCAAGGGCAAGAACGTATCTGTCTTTTTATCGCCACATCCCCGGGCCATGCTTAGTAGTAGGTGCTCAGTGAGAGCCCTTTGCGTGAACCCGTACTACAGTGAGGATCCAGCTCGCCGACCGCCAGGACCGACCTGCTTTCTTCCTGTATTTCCCCATTGATGGGACAGACAGCACCCAGGGCCCCCTCCTGGGGCTGGGTGAGCGCTTGGGTCTCCCTGTCCCCTATTCTCAGGTGGGAGTGGGAGGGCCTGGCTCCACACCCCCTCGCCAGCCCTCCCACCAGCTGGCGTGGTGGCATTAGTTGAACCAAGGGAAGTCGCCCACCCTTGGTGATCATGACTGATCCTCTGATATGTCTTTACAATGTACCTAACAGAGATGTCCTTCCTTCTCCATCATCCAACCTGGTCCCTGCAATGTCCCTGCAGGCAGGGTTGAACTGGCCATGGCTGTCAGAGGACTCACTGGGAATCACTAGCAGGGGCCCAGTGAGCTGGGCCAGGGAGGGGACCCCTAGTCTCTAGCCTGGAACCCTGCCTAACCAGCCAATGGCAACCCCTAGGAGATGGAGAACTTGCTGACCTACAAGCGGAGAGCCATAGAGCACGTGCTGCAGGTGGAGACCTCCCAGAAGCCCTCGCATGTGGTCAGCCCAGAGGAGATGCTGCAGGGGTGGGTGTTGGGAGCAGGTGGGGAGGGAGGCTGGGGCACTGCAGGGCACCCTGGGAGGAACCCTCTGAGACCCAGGGAAGACTCTTCCACCCATAGTTCCACACCAGACCTCTGTCTTCCTGTGGTTGCCCTGAGCACCAGCCTCCTAGTGGACGCCCCAGAGGGGCTCTATCTGCCTTTGTTCCGCCCTAGGC